GCTGAATCTCTGACCATTGCCGCCTGCTCCCGCAACATGTGTTTCGCTCCAGCGATTTTCGTGTCCACTCCTTTAAACATTCTAATATTGTATATAATTTTGGTGCATCAGGGATGTGGTGTATTTAAATATTTTTGAATGAGCATTTGCGCTGTTTACTTTCACTTTCGATTTCTCAATCACACGCATCCCTGTGTAAAGGGAGCACATCTTACAAGATCAGATATTTGTCAATGAGCTCAGGATCTGTTGAGCAGCAAATACTCCAGCATGGTCTTGTCAGTCATCTCTCCTTATTCTCGACCTGTGATCAGTCAAAGCTGACCCCAGCAGCTCTTGTTGGATGCAGGGTTGCCAAGTCTGCATTTTCTCCACAGAATTGGGCTACTTTTAAACTGTTGCCATGGGTCGATTTTCCCAAGTGGGTTAAAGGTTTGAAATATTGCATGAATTACATTTGACTGAAATGCTTGTATTGAAACATGTTGCATTCTACCTATGATAAAACTTTCATGGACTTCTACATTAACTGTTCCCTTCTGGTGGAATGACCTGCCCAGCTCAATCCAAGCAGCTGAGTCCTTAATATTTTCAAGAAACGGCTGAAAACACATCTCTTTCATCTTCATTTGACCATCTAAGTCTAGCACTCTCTATTCTAATGCTACATCTAATTTTATCTGCTTGTTTTTTTTATTAAAAAACTTGACCCTCTAACACTTGCACTCACTATTCTATTTCTATTCTAGCTTCTTGTTTTATTTATAAAGAAAAAAGAGCCTCTAACACTAGCATTCTCTATTCTTTCCACTTATTTTATTTTTATTTATTATAAATAATGATCTTCTAACACTAGCATTATCTGTTCCTTTTCTGTTCAATTGAATTGTTTTATTTTTATTTAAAAATGACCCTCTAACACTAGCATTCCCTATTCTTTTTCTATTCTTTCTACTTGTTTTCTTTTTATTTATTATAAAACAAAGTAAGCAAACAAACAAAAAAATTGCCCCCTACTGTCCTTTTTTTGTGAAAACTAAAATATGGTCACATTATAAATATACTTAATTATTATGAAAATACCAGAGATGGCTTAAATAACAATATTATATTGTCTATATTGTCGCAGCCGAGTGTTTATTATCTTTGTTTTATCATTTAAAACAATTATATCTTCTGTTTACTCAGTTACAGATATAACATGATGCCTTTGTCCATATAAGGGATTTCTTTGAGGGTCAGGAGTTTTCTACTTCTGTGACTGGATATGTGGATTTTCTGTGCGAGGGCGCCCTCTGGCGACCAGTATGAATGAAACAGACATCATGTGTTTATAGCGCTAATGGCCAATCCATCATTTTGAGGGGAATTTTTTTTTATTTTTTTAATAAGTATTGGTTCAGGCACCGTTTAGGCACCGGAACCGTTTTAAAAGTATCGATTTGGCACCAGTATCGAAAACAAAAAAGCTGGTCATAGCGCCACTAGCTGGCAGAAGGAAGTTTGGCACATAAAAATTACTTTGACATATTCCTCCTTTATTTTCCAATTTAAATGCATATTGCCCACCATTCACTGTTTTCCTAAAGCTACTGGGTGGTGGTAAGCTTTCAACGTTGCTTGCAGCTTTATTTTAAATTGAGCTCTTTTAATAAGATCTACACTGTAAAACATGAAAATATACTGATTGAAAATCACTTTCTTTGGTGCAGTACTCTAAGAAAAATATTTTTTTGAAGTTGTAAATAAAAATGATTAGACTGTGTTTTAAAATATTATTGCCATATTCTACTTAAACATAATTTACATTTTTAAGTAGAAATTTGTTCTTCTCTTTTCCAGAGTGTCATTCAGAGGACATTCCTACTCTCCTACATTTTGCGGCCCAGCATGGATTGCGAGACCTGGCCAGTGCTTTGCTGCAGTGTCCTGGATCCCGGCAGGCCCTTAAGATCCCTAACAGCCATGGACACACACCACTGGATCTTGCACACGTACATGGACACAACCAGCTCTATATACTCCTACAAGAGTCATTGGTGAGTAAAAGTTCTTAAGCATAATTATTTCATACATCTTCTATAACCTGTCCAACTTTTATAATCCAAACCCATACAATTAGAAGCATCACTGGAAAGCAAAGGTCAATAAAACTCACCAGCTTCAGCCGATACAAGAGTTTATGCAACATATACATCTACAGATGTTATAACAAAATCCAACTCTTACCCCTCACGTTCTGTTGAGCTTGACTTTTTTTTTTTTTTGGAGGGGGGGGGGGGATTCCAATTATGTATACAGTATCTCACAGAAGTGAATACACCCCTCACATTTTTGTAAATATTTTATTATATCTTTTCATGTGACAACACTGAAGAAATTACACTTTGCTACAATGCAAAGTAGTGAGTGTACAGCTTGTATAACAGTGTAAATTTGTTGTCACTCAAAATAACTCAACACACAGCCATTAATGTCTAAACCGCTGGCCACAAAAGTGAGTACACCCCTAAATGAAAATGTCCAAATTGGGTCCAAAGTGTCAATATTTTGTGTGGCCACCATTATTTTCCAGCACTGCCTTAACCCTCTTGAGCATGGAGTTCACCAGAGCTTCACAGGTTGCCACTGGAGTCCTCTT